CCTCAGGATCGAGAAATGGGATTCACTTATAATCTGATTTAATTTATATACTCCCCACGGGGTCACTGAATTTTATTGCATGGCCAAACGGAGACCGACTATTAATTTCGTTCGTCATGAATTTGGTTTTGACTTATAGAAATTAATGGGTTCTTGAAAAACCCTTCTCTTATAAATGTTGAGTATGTAGGGCGACTGACGTAGCATGCTTAATCACGGTGTGTAGAGATGTCGGTGGATTTAAGTTAATATTGTTTTGAGGATATCAATATTAACAGTTAAATTCAAAATGTTTAATCTGTAAAATATTTTCCTGATTCTCAGGATATATTCATCATGCCGTTCAATCCGTTACCTGTCATTCTAAAAGAAAATCAGCTTACTGGTCCTAACTATATTGATTGGAAGAGGAACTTAGACATTGTGCTGACTACTGAGAGATATAAGTATGTGATCAATGAGGCTTTCCCAGCAGTGCCCGCGGCCGATGCTCCGGATCAAAGAAAGAGGAGTATGCCCGGTGAAAGAAGGCTGATGAGATGGCGAAGTGTAACATTCTGGCATCTATATCGAATGTATGGCCCTAATCAGAGGAAGGTCTAACTCATCATCCATTTGGTGCGGGGATGGGTCAGTAGCTATTGAAGATGAACCTCCTTCGTTGGGTGTAGATTTTCTTGGATGGGATTGCCAAGATACACTTACGGGCTGCTCGTTGATTGCTATAGTGGGTAGAGTAGTGGTCGACTAATAATAACATTGTACTCAGTGACTTGCTCAATAATCTTTAAAGTCTCTAGAATGGTTATAGAGGGCGATCCTTAATTGCTAAATGTATTTGGCAACATGACCTCGGCAATGGGGAGGATGACATCTCCGTCGAAGCCTCGGACTAGATCATTGTATGGGTGTACTTTGGCGAGATCGACGCCCATTTTGATAAGAGTCTGGAGAAGGAAACAAATGGCATAAGCACTGGTATCCACCACTATTCGGTGTACCAGGACGTCGGCAAACTCACGCTGCATCTCGTTCAAAAAAATAGATAGAGTGTAGATTTTTCCTTGCCAATCTAGGTGAGGTCGAAAGAATCTTTTGATCGACATTATAAACTTGACGAACATAAGCCTTTTGTTGCCGACGTGATCTGTTTGATTCTAGTCGATTGGTATTGATAAGCCGGTTTGCCTAGGACTCACTGACCCAGGTCGGCCAAAATGAGCTTGAGCTTGACCTGTGGGAACCAAACAACATTTGGGGGTCGATCTTGAAGTGTCGACTTCTATTGTTGATGGTCGTAGGAAGAGAGCATCGGCGGCATCGCCTCGAGGGAGAAGTCTATTAGAAAGGTGTTTCTTCCCTGGTTGAATATCAAGATATCCATCGGTGGGTGTTGAGGGTTTTTTACAGCGGTCAAAATGTCGTCATCCGATGGTAGATCGTCATCTCGCCTCATTTTATGATTGACCTAGGGGAGAGTAAAATGATCAAGGTGAGGGTGACAAATCGCCTTCAACAAAGCTGATATAAAATTTCGGCATTGGTCAGCATTGTTCTTGTGACATTTGTGATAGACACAATAGTTTAATTTAGCAAGGGCAGTCTCATCTCGGACGATCGGTCGAGGGTCGGGATGAATGCTCTCATTCTTAATGCCCCAATTGAATATGCACCTTTATTTGGTAATCGCCGCTTTTTGTCGCTCTCGAGTTGCTTTGAGATGGGCCAGTCGGGACTCTTTGTCCTCCGGGTTCCAATGGAATTAAGCGCCTTTGAATTTAGGGGGAATTTTATGTGGAACTCTAAACATTTTATGGACATGACTATCAATTTACATTGTAGTAGAAACTGGTATGTAGCTTGTCTTGACTATTAGTTTATAGTTTCCCCGAGCAAAAATTCTCATATCCCTCCATGTGCTGACCTTGACCTTTCTCATCCACAAAGACCCGTCCACTAACCTATACTACAGACCGTCCGCTTTGGCTCCAACTCCACCTCGTTCAACGTCGTGTTTGACCTCAGAGGCAAGTTCTTGTGGTTCAACTCCCTTGACTACTTCAATGTCTTCTCCTCCTACCTCCCCATGTTCTGCAGGACCCCCTCTAAACCCTCACAAATGGTGTTCGTTGCATCTTTTGTTTTCTCTCCCCTCTCGTCCTCAGCTGCACGAACAAAACCTATTTCGACTAAGCCCTCAACCTCTTTACAGGCACCCCAGGAGTACAACGGCCTTAGGACAGACGTCCTCCGTGTGCAATCCATCCGCGATGCCCACTACCTAGTCAGTGATTTTCGATTTCGGTTCGTCGACCCAACCTCGAGGGATGGAGCACCTTGGAGGTCCATTCACGACATATATTGACCTAAGTGGAATCGGGATCGGTATCGCCGTTGTACATGCCAATTTGAGTGACCTTAATCTTGACAGGGAGCACCTCATTGAAAATACGTGAGGAGAGAGGTGAAGTGGGATATGTTCAAACGCCCTTAGAGGATGACAGTGGGTTGGAGATCGGCTGATTTGCTGTCTCCAAGGATTGCCAAATTCAAACTCGACTATCCACTGCTTTAGTGAGGCGATCTCCTATGCTTCTGTGCGAATTATCTTTTTGGTGACGTGTTGACAGAAAACATCCTGCTTGGGGTTATCCCAACATGTTAAATACCGATCGGGTGTTTGAGTTCATGTTGGCCCCAAGTGGGCATAACTTTCGCCCATGCTTTCACGATCTTTTGGACGATCAACTTTCCGCTTTTATTTTCCATGCAACTCAGGGTGCCATGAGAGTGACCTTTCTGGGATATCGAGGCAAGCGTTTGGAGAGGATTTGGCTAAGGATCATTTTGAGGGTTATTGTGGAGCATTTGAGCAAAAAGCTTACTGCTGCCTTTAACAAAAGCGGGATTTTAGAAAATTTGAGTGATATCGTGATGAGAGGGAGAGATTTCCTCATTGTTCCAGCTAGTAGCGTTGTTTGAGGACGACATGGTTGTGTGTAGATGTTTTCAACACAAGTATGTGAAGACTCCCAAAAATCCATGATTGGGCCCTTCCTCTAACGTCAAATTATAGATAATGGTTATTAACAAACTAATTAAGCGTGTGTAAGTAGTAATTAGACAAGAAAAATGGGCTAATGTAGTTGTTAATAGGGATCATCAAGTAAATGAGAGATCGACACGTTGTAATAATTGAGAGGAAAACAAGTGTTTGATTGAATATATTTGAAAGGGTGATTCAGTGTATTTTTGTATCTTTTCTGATACATTAAATGCTGAATTTATACATAAATGAAGTGAAAAGACAGTGACTATCGTTTGTGAACTAAGGGCGCAGATGAGTAACACGTGGATCCATACAAAGCTCGACTTTTGATGACAATACCCAAAAATTGGCTTTTGATTATGGGACCAGCAGTGAGGTTAGTTTACAAGTTTTGTTCATAATAATTAGGAAGATCGACATGTCACGCAAGCTGGTGGATCGACATTGGAACCTAGAGTGAGATCCGCATATGACAGACTTGTGAGCTCTCAAGTCTCTTTTATGAGTTTGTGTTGGAACTGGTATGGGCCTAGTGCTAACATGGGCCCTGCACTTTCTGGTGTGGATCGGGCTAGCCTCAAATATTCATGTACAACATCCATCTCTCTGTATTTTTCTAAATATGATCTAAGATCAAGCTCTCTCTCTCTCTCTCTCTCTTCTCTCTCTCTCTCTCTCATGAAGGTGAAATCCCAACTATCCTCACCTATCATATACAATTACGGAAATGCCTTTCGTATTGGTTTGACCTGAGAGCATCTCCAAAATGGCACATTATTCATTTTGAGATGTATAACATGAAGAAAGAAAAATTAAAAAATTGTGTCTCCAATGGTATATTAACTGCAGTATAATTTGACGTGTGCAAAATTGTAATTGGTTAGAAAAGAGAAAATTTGAATAAATCGTATAACATATGATATAAGACGTTTAGAAGTATTTCTGCATTTAGAAAGACTTCTAGACATATTTATTAGATTAACATGATAATGAAATAAAATATTGCATGAACCATTCAAGATGCTCAACATCTACAAAGTGTCGCCATTATTTTTGTTTTTCTTTCAAAACTTAGAGACCTTTGACCGATCATCGGAGCTGTCCGTTTTTTAAATCTAGGTTGATGTTTATTCTTATCCAAGACTTATTTGATCATCCTCACCTAATTCTAATTATATATATACACATTACATTTCGTGGGGCAGGGTAATATTTAAGCACACTAGCTTAACTCGTACATAGTTTATTAAATTCTTATCTTGGTTAAAACTGAGATGTAAATTGGTTGTCTGAAATACTAGTCAATTTTCAATTATATTGATTAATTGATTGATAACACTGATATATATACACACATTTAATAATTCTTGTAATTCATATCATATAAAATTATTTATTAATATAGTAGTCAATTTGAACTAGCAAATTAATAAATTTATTCTGATTGATGAATATTGACATCAATATTAATCTATCTATCTATATCTATATCTATATCTATATCTATATATTTGAATTCTTTACAAATATTTATTATATTGTTTTTGTTGCATCATTTTTTCTTTAAAGAAGTTATTAGTTATTAGTTAAAATATAAGATGAGATAGATATTAGTGTATTACTAATTTGCCATTAAAAATATGTCAAAGTAAGAGTGTTTTAAGTAGTTCATATTTTTACAAAAACACTCCTCCTTTTATAGTAGTATAGATATAGATATAGATTATATAAAAATAAGATCCATCAATTAATTTAAATTTTTATTTATGATATTGCAGAGACACATTGTGGATCAAAACAACGCTGATGAATTCAAACCCACAAACCAACCACAGATCCCATTTGAGGCTAATCAAGTGAGAACACATTCACCGATTAACCACTGGAGAGTATTCATTTATTCATCCAATCACAAACTGGTTAACAAAACCGAAACTCCGACACACACAAACTAGGCAGCCCCGAAGTCGGAGCAGCTCGTCCCGTGCAGCGCGAGCGCGGAGCTAAACCCAAACCTCGAGTTCTCCACATCAAACCTGAGCAAATAGTTCTCCATCTGGTATCCCCCCACCACCACCGACGTCGTGGGCCCCGTCGGGTTCGTCCTTCCCTCCACGAACGCGAGGCAAACCACATTACTCCCCCCAACCCTCACCATCGAGTTCCACCCGTAAAACCTCCAGTAAACTCCCCCTCCCCTCATCACCAGGTCGATCGTCGGCACCCGTGAATATTCCCTGATCGTCCCCGAGTCGAAACACGCCCCGAAAGGAGCCACTGCCCTCACCCTCCGCGCACCCATCGACTCGACACCCCTCACAAACTCCTCCACCACTGCCCCGTATATCGACCTCTCCAGAACCGTGTACGGCCTCACCGTCCGTAAACCCGTCCCTCCGGCCCCCGTGCGCCTGTCGATCTCCAGCAGCGTCCGGTTCAGCCGCACCGTCCTGCCCCCGACCCTGATCGACTCCAGCCCGACGAAATACTCCGCCGTGAAGTTGCCGATCTCCTCGTTCATGTCCGTGGGCACTGGATTCCTCACCAGCGGCGTGGTGAAAAGAGAGACGTTTCGAAACGGGCCGCGGAATCTCGCCCGGCCCACGACCATCCGGCCCGCAGCTCCCGACGACGACGACGGGAGGCAGATCGCGAACTCCCGTCTAATCCCGAACGCGGCGGCGAGCCGCGCGTGGAGGGAGATCCGCGTGCGGCCCATCCCGACGAGCCCCGCGGTGGGGCCTGCGAGGCCGTCCCTGAGGGTCGGGTCGGAGAACTGGAAAGGAAAATCGGGTAGCGGGTAGGTGTGGGTGGATGACTGCACGTGGAGAGTGTCTGTGCCGAGGCCGTTGTAGCCCTGGGTGCCGGAGAAGGGGTTGAGGGCATAGTCGGAGCAGGTGTTGTTGGTGCAGCCGGGGACGGGAGGGGAGAGGAAGCAGAAGACGCAGCCGACGCCGTTGGCTAAGGCGCAAAGTCGGGTTCCGCAAAGGATGGGGCGGTAGGAGGAGGCGGAGTTGAAGTAGTCGAGGGAGTTGAACCAGAGGAACTTGCCTCCGAGGTCGAGGACGGCGTTGAACGTGGTGGAGTTGGAGCCGATGGTGATGGTGGTGTAGTATTGGTTGGTGGTGGGGTCTTTGCGGATGGGGAAGGTGAAGGCCTGGGGTTTTGGAGGGGTTTGGGAGTTTAATGGGCGGGGAGAGAGGATGAATAGTACAGAGAGGAGGAAGAGGAGGATCGATACTTTTGAGAGACCCATTTTGGTCAGTTACATTACATGTGGGTTTGGTTTGTACGTGGATTTATATGCACTCTCACAATTTTGGAGAATTTACAATAGGATTTTGTTGACTTGACCACAGATAGCCTGCCAGCAAATCAGCATTATCTTTAACACGTGTCTGGTTGAAGTCAGAGGTAACAAGTCAAAGCAAGGCCTATTCCACGATGAATGCCGCATCCACTTGGATCATCAATGTTCCCAATACTATAGTATACCACTTTAGGCACCAATCGCGCAACTTGAGAGTGTCAACGGTTTTGTTTGATTAAGTCTAACTACTTCTATCTTCTTAATTTATTATGTCGCCAACTATTCTTATTTGCGTTAATTTAAATTACAGATGCCTCACCTAGATGATAGGCTTTAGTTTGCATATCAATTAGAAATTGTTGAAACATCGATCATTCATCTATGTTAAGTTTCTAAAGCATGTTCTATGTAAATACATAATTGGTAGTGCACATAATTATACTCTCTGTCTAATTTACAAACCAATTAAGTATAATTATTTCATCACAAATGAAATAGCAATCATGATAACATGATGAACCGGAGCAATAGCAGTTGGTTTTTTTGACCAACTTTAGTGTATGATAGCTCGGTAGAAAAGGAGCGACCTCATCAACTACTGCGGATTTAGAAGTCTTATGAGACTACGAAAGAGAGGACACATGATCTTTTGGGAGATCTTCAGCTGTGCAATACTCATAAAGTGGATATTTTCGAATTCCTTTTCGAGGAATAAAGTACCTTCGAGAATACTTAGATAACTCCATTATAAAGAAAAGGTTCCAGCTTTGATTATTAATTTTCACGTCCAATATATTTTCCGATGAGCATACTGTTGGAGTATCTCTAACTTGAGTGTCGAAGCTTTCTTATCGGGGGGAACCTACGTGAATTGCAGGTCAATGAGAATGAAGTTGTTGAGGAGGTAACTTACACGCAGTAGTTAATTACATAATATTTGATCATATCTAGCGTGTTGAATAGTCAAAATTCAGTATAGCAAATAAGTTCAAATATAAAGCTATTGCTTAAATTATCGGCAAACTCAAGCTTAATGTTGGAGTTGACTTTCATTTCTTTGACCTTCAGTTTGGACTTTTGAAATTGTACTTTGTCCTATCAATACGTACACGGTTTTTATAAATCATATGAATTAAAGTCTCGAAATATAATAAATTAACATTTCTTTATATGTATAATCCATCATTTTTTACATAAATATTAGAGTTTCTTTCAAATTATAGGGATATAAAAGTTTCACATATACTGATATGGGATACCATGTCGGTTCAACCAGGCCCGTGAAACTAGGCAATTAGATTGGATAAACAGACAACTTGAGTTGTAGCTAGGGCTCGACCTGAGGACAATGATCGAGCCGACGGTGACCTTCTGGTAGGAGACATCAAATACAGGTCGAGCTCACAGGAAGCTCGACCTAAGGGAGCAAGGGTCGGTGGATCGACCTCATGGACATCAGAAGAGCTGGGAAGAAGATATTCTATCTAATGAGTAGTCTACCTGATGACATGGTCTGGTCTTACGGCAAGATAAAAAGGTATCTAACTTGGGAACAACGTTGTATGAGGGTTGGTTCACGTGTCGCAAAGAGATTGGGTCTCCTGCACACCTGACAAGCCTGACAGTCTGAAACGCTGTAGGTCGTACGGACGGGCAACTTGGGTAGAATGGTCAAGATGCTAGCTAAGCCTTAGTTTACATATCAATTAGAAATTGTGGAAACATCGATCATTCATCTTTGTTAAGTTTCTAAAGCATGTTCTATGTAAGTACATAATTGGTAGTGCCCATTATACTTTGTCTAAGTTACAAACCAATTAAGTATAATAATTTCATCACAAGTGGTATAGAAATCATGATAACATGGTAAATCTAAGACAATTATTTTGTTTGACCAACTCAAGTATATGATAGCTCGATATAAGAGGAGCGACCTCAATAACTATTGGGGAACTCGTTAGCGACATAAGGAAAATTCAACAACCTGCTGAGGAGGTCACCAAGTGATCTAGGTCGGTGGGTCAGCGGGCAAGGAGATTGAACCACCTATGAAAGGGTTCAGAAGCAATATTGAAGAATCGACTAGAAGTCTTATATATGAGCCTAGGAAAGAGAGGACATGATCTTTTGAGAGATCTTCAACTGTGCAGTACAGAAAGTGCGGCTGTCCTAGAGTTTTGTGCCAATCTCACACATGCTATTTCTGATCCTGAGTCTCCGCGTTTTCAAAAGATGTTCTTTCGTAACCGTGTTCTAGATTTTCTCCTTTTGTGGTAAATGTCCTTTTTTAAATGCAGCTGATATTGCCTTTGTTGATGACAAGGATGAAAAAGATATGGCCACTATTCTTTCTGGTTGGGCAATTTCTAAATGGACTGGTTCTTACATCCTCGTTAGTGATTTTACCCTTCACGCCAATCTTCTTAATAAAATTGGTGTGTGAAATTGGTTGCCTACCGTTCTTCCACAAAAAGTTTCCAAAAAGTTGTGTCAAAATCATTTATTAGGTTATGACTGGTCGTCATTTTAATTTTGATCGCATTGTTGTTGATCATATTAGGTCCCTTGCCATGCAAACCCAAAGCCATAGGGTTCTTCCTTTTCCTTATTTGATCTGGGACTTTCGTGAGCATTGTGGAATTAAGCTCAAGAGTAAGATTGGGGATACTCTAGGCCCTGCACCGCGATCCTGACTATCAGTTCTCGCACGTTGAACATTGCTAAGAACCCTTTTATGTGAGCCCTCTGTTGCACCAACTGATGTCACTTCTCGCCTTGAGGAGTTCATTCTTCATCACCACTTTGTGCTTTACGCTCTTCATAATAGCCTCTACATGCAGCATAAGTATCTCCAGGAGATCCTTGTTGTCATTTCCAGTGACTATGCCAACAATCACCCCGACCATGTTTCTTAGGCATCTCAGTCAGTGAAGGGGGAGAAGAGCCACGCAAAAAGCAAGAGACAAGGGAAAGGTCAGACCCAAAGGGACATCAATCAATGTTCCTACCTATTTTGTTATGATTGCATATGAACTTCAGTAAATGTTCTTATATAGTTAATATGCTCTTATTTTGGTCTTACTGTGGACTTAACTTGTTTTTGTTACTACATGAATTAGAGTTTTCGAACTGAATGCCAAAGAGGAAGATTGTTAGATATTTGAATTGGTATCGTTCGAATTATCTTGTGTATTTTAATTATATCTTATAAGTCACTTATAAAGGTACGATCTAGCGAGAATTTGGCAGATCTATTCACCAAATCCCTTCCTACATCTACTTTTGAAAAATACATTTATGGTATTGGTATGCGTAAACTGGGAAGACTATTGTCTTCAGGGGGAAGGACAAACTCAAAATAATACCGAAGATCAGGTCCTAAAGGCCAAATGTTGTACTCTTTTTTCCTTGACTGAGGTTTTGTCCCATTGGGTTTTTCCAGCAAGGTTTTTAATGAGACGACAATAATATTGCATTTAAATGAATAGTGTACTCTTTTTCTTTCATTAAGATTTTGTCCCACTGGGTTTTTCCTAATAAGGTTTTAAAGAGGCATATTCATGGTATAATGAGGGCTACTGAATAATTGATATAATTCTTCATGATGATAAGAAGACACTGGGGTAGCTGTACTCTTTTTCATTCGATCAAGTTTTTTTCCACTGGGTTTTCTTGACAAAGTTTTAACGAGGGTGCACGTGGATACTCCACTAAAGATGATATATTTGAGGGGGAGCAATGTTGTGCTTTCACAATACTCAGGTTTTGTTAAATTGAGTTTTCCTGAGGGATCAATGTGATTATAGAATGATCAGGTTTTGTACAACTGAGATTTTCTGACATGCAGATATTTGATGGCAATAAGATGCACTTCAAGATGTTAAAATTAGACTTTGTTCAAATTAATTAAAATATGTTTAAAGAATAGTTTTATAACAGTTTAACTAAAATGGCTTGAACAGTTTTATAACTGTTATAAAATTAGACTTTGCACAATTGACAGTTTAATAATTTTATAACTAAAATTTTATAACTAAAATTGTCAGTTTAATTTTATGGCTTGGACTTTTTTTTTTTT